AACTTGTTCCATTGAAGAGATATGGCAAACAAAACTCATAAATCCTGGACAGCCAACTCAAACTGTTTTTATTTGACCTATTCAAAGCTTTAAAATGACCTGTCTTTGGTAATAGATAATAAGAAGACAGTGTGATGTTGGTCAGCTCCCCTGATCATTTGCATAACTCAATTGGCAAGGTCACAGAGGAAGAGCACAATTACAACAGCCAAACAAGCCTAATCAGCATGTTTAAGAGGTGGAAAGAAACTGGGGCTCATTAAGTGCCCCAGAAATCTAGTGTCCTGCTAAATAGATGGCACATATCAGCAGGTTTAGTGTTTCCACCTTTATGCGGTTAAACACTAATAGCAGTGTTTATCACTGCTTTCGTGAAGGTAGGAACTTAACGAACTGATCCAGATGTGCCACTTAAGTTGACAAGAGTATCCAAGGATAAAATCCTCCCCACAGGTCACTAAAGGTGGTTGAAAAAAATCTTCAAGCCCAAAGGCATCTATTTCAGCTGCCACAGCCCCTTTGAAAGTCATACAGTATCTGGGCAATTCACTGAATCTAGCTTAACATACCAAATTCTGCTCCTGGGTTTGAGAGAGCTGAGCCACTTAGAGCAATCATACAGTAGGCTTGATTAAAAACACAGAAAAAGGGGAAATATGCACCATCGGTTTCATTAAAGTGGTAGGGAACTCCCATAGAGGTCCAGACTCTCTCTAAATACCTCCTGCTTCTTGTCCTTAATATTTCTAAATATACTGTAATTTCCACGCATGTGTCTCGATTATTGTATTGTTTCCAATCTTGAATATGAATTTGAATTCCTCAGTTCCATTCAGAAGTTTGAATACTTCAGTCAATTCCCCTTATAGTTTCCTCTGTTCCAAGCTAAAATGACATTTATTTTTTTTATTCCTTTGCAATTCCCAATTAATCAACTTAGGGTCTTCTGTTTCATCCTCTTTGCGATTCTGCACATGAAGCCAGCAGCATAATCAGTCTGCAACTCACAGCTGGCAACCCGCTGTAGCTAAGCAGGTGTGAGCCTGATCGGTACCTGGATGAGAGACCTCCTGGGAAAAACTAAGGTTTCCAGGAGGGGACCAGAAGGTTCCACCTACTTCTCTTGCATCATTGAAAATCACCAAAACAATCCCAGTCATCTTTTCTCCACCATCAACAGACTGCTCAAGCCAAACTGCCCTACCACATTACCTGCCTCATCACAACTTTGCAACACATTCTTAGATTTCT